GGCATGAGTTCAATACCTGGTATTTGCAGTTTCAAAAAAATTATTTACGAATAATTAAATACAAGATATAATTCAAAGACCACTGATGATGGGTTTTTGTAGTTTACTACTTCTCAAAATCTCCCTATATATATTTCTATTTCTACTGCATTTTATGGCTGACTAAGGTGTTTCCCGAACGCCAATACCGATTATCAGGGTCTATAACAATATTTGTATAGAATTTTTCGTCCATAGTTTTGAGCTGCAAGTGCCGTGTTTACAACTTCAACAGACACAAGTTAATGTTGCTTAATAATGTACATTTATATGGATTATGTATTGTATGTTTATAAACATAAATACGCTGTTTATAATGTTGGAGAAGTTATAAAATAATAACTATAATTAAATTTTGTTTTGTAAATATAAAATAAGATATATTAACTAAAGTTACATATATAAGAATAAATTAAGCAAGCAATAATAATTTCTGAATTAATGATTCATTCAAATAAAGTCTTATTAAAATAAAATGTTTGCAAAATTAATTTTTAATAATTATAATTGCTGTTCAATATTTATTATTTGTTGTTATTTATTGAAATTTATTACTTCAAAAACTTAATCGATCCATCACCTATATTTCAAATATATACTTTTTTTTATAATAAAATAGTTTTTATACCATTGAACGCATAATCTACTTTTAATTAATTATTTGTTTATTTTATTTCATGCGAATAAAAATTATTAATTATTTTTTCACATGTTTAAAATCAAGTGAGACGAGACTTTTTAGTTTGTTTGTAATATTGTGAATTTGTTAATAGTTTGTTTTGTAACATTAACTTGGATATGCAAATAAGATACATTGAATTTATTTAAATGTAAATATATTTTAGATAAAATTGCGTGGCTTACGCAACCAATCATGAGACATATAAACAAGCATGAAATCGGAATTTAAATAATTGCGAACTGAAAATCGATTCCAGATTAGTTACACTCCTAACGATGTAGGGCAAAATGGTAAATTCATCGATCTTAGACTCCTCCTTGACTTGCGGAAAAAAATTGTATGTATTAAAGTGGTACAATGCCATAAGAATATATATATATTTTTGCGTAAATTTTTTGACACTTTGAATTGTTCTACAGATTTTTCTTAGGTTTGTGACAGTTAAATGTTGATCAACAAACAAGCGCATGCGCATATGACAAGCCGTCGACACCAAACCCAAAATTGTAAAATAAAACACAGAAAAAAAAAATATTTATTTCAACGGTGTTGAAGAACATCTAGAAACCCTATTTATATAATACACACTTATTTTTGAATAATATGTATTTATATATATTTCAGTTTAACCGACAATTGCACAGATATCATTTAAAGATATCATTCACTTAAAAATTTTCGAAATTCTTAAGTAAGCTTAGAAGATGCTAAAGCATCAGCGAGGATTATAATTTTTGTCTAGCTATGACGAACAATATAAATACTCCTACCAAATACTTCAATGCGATAAAGCCTATAAGATACTACAATGATCATGTAGACGAAACGAGAGGTCGATAGAAATGTTACTCCACATACCTTATTTTTCAAATTTGAAGACATCTGTGTGAGTTTCGAGACATTGCTTTGAATCGTATTCTTTCCATGCCAACAATTCTTTATAGGGATTAGGAGACGATTGAACTTATCAAGAAAAAGTCTCCAGATTTTTTACCAAAATCAAAGAACTAGTCAAAAAATATGGTATGAAAAAAAGTAACACCTCTTAGTATGGCAGCTAGAAAATAAGTATTCCTTTAAGGAATTAAGACTGTTTGATTGAGCATTACTTTTAAATTTCATGAAGTGGTATACGATTTGTTCCTAACAGCTGTTAAATAAGGTATTATTTTTACTTTTACGATACATTAAACACAAGTGTCACCCTGTAGTTTAATACCCTTACCACTAAAATTCCATTTCCCACATTATTTTCCCATGTTCGTGGAGCGAAAAGCTACGTTTTTGTAAAAGAGTGATTATTATAATAATGTAATATAAATATAATATTAAAATAAAGGAAAACAATTAAAGCAAAAATAAGTTGTTGATAACACAAAGTTTTATTAAAAGGGATAATAGTATTCTTTAACATATTAAAATTATCGTGCTATCTCTGAAGAAAGTTTCTTAAATCTATAAAAACAAATTTGGCTCAGTTGAAATTTTTTAGAGATACTGGACTAATTTGCTAATAATGCTATTCTTAAGCAGATAAGAAGACTTGATATATCACTCTGCATTATACAGAATGTGTGGTTATTAAGAATTCACAAAAATCCATGCGAATGAAATACCTATTGACTAAGAAAAAATTTGCAATATTTCTATTTCGCCTAAAAACCTTAGATAGATAAATGAAATATAACTGACTTCTGTGAAAATGATTATCAGAATTATTCAAAATTTCAGTTTAATTAGATCTTCTTGTCATATTTAAGGATATGGTATTTAATGCTGCAAATTTCTTATACAGCTTATTATAAAATTATCAAAAACTCTTCAAAAAAAGCAATTGCATTTTTTAGATTTTTTTCACAAATAAGTAAATAAGAATATAATGCCCTAAGTAAAATCAATAAATCATGCTTATATATGATAGAACCAGCAAAGTAAGTACATACAATTCGTAAATATTAGTTAAATTTCATCTAAAATGATTAGAATACATACATACTGTTAAATATATTTAACCAATTAAGAGCATAATACATTGCTAAATTCATATTTTATCTACCAATGTATCTATCTAAGGTTAAAATATTTAACAATTTAATACAATAAAGTAAACCTTACGATATACATACGATACATTCTAACAAGTGCTTATTTTAGTCCTTATCAGTTTACCCGATGAGTTGGAAGATGGATTTTTGAGAGGTGTGAT